ATTTTGGCTCATAAAAATTGTACAAATGAAGGAAATAATACAAATTGTTTCTCAGCATAGCTTTCTCAGTATCAGCTCAGCAACTCAGACTGATTTTACAGGAATGAAATTTTCTGCGAGATTAAGAAAATTATGCATTTGAGTTTATTGTTAACCTCACTTTCTGGTGTCTTGCTATAACACAGAAATCCTCTTAAGCTGCTAATTGTGGAGGTTTGGTTAAGACAGCAGGCTGGGGACTGACTGGTTCTCTAGTCATGTCTTAGGTACAAAGCCAACTGGGTTGGTTCCTCTATCTCAGCTCTAGGCCGATAGAGGCAGTGACAAACTGTTTGTAAAATCTTACCAAGAAAACTGCAAGATCAAATCCCTGGAATTAAGGGAGATGAAAAGCCATAAAACAAAAGAATGGAAAAGCATGATTTCATGAGGGTGGTATTGCAGATAGTGATTTGAGTGATTTCCGGTTTCTAGGATGCTACAATTTCTGAAGACTTTTCTGTTTCAAGGAGACTGGTTTCCATGGATCTCTCTGCCAGCACTGCTCTTCTCTTGACTATCTCCTGCTTCCTGTGGAATATAGAATCTCGACCTCAAAGTCTACAGTATTCTTCCCTGATCAGTGTGCCGAATGGGGGTGGATGGGGTGATTGGGGACCGAGCGAGTTTTGCGATTATGGCCTTGCTAAGGGCTTCTCCCTGAAGGTAAAAGTTTACTTTTCTGATGTTCCCTCACTACTAAATATTCTCTTGAACTTAGTTCTTCAAGCTTATCTTTCAAGAAAGGCAATCAAGAAGTAATTGTGTTGATGCTTTACACTTCCGATTCTACAATTAAAGAAATGTATTGAGTTTGGAGTGGAATATTGTGTGGCAGATCTAACCTTGATCCAATGCATTGACCAATATTTCTGAGAATTGAAATCTGAAGGACAGCAAGGGGAGAAAGGCTGATCTAGAACTTTACCAAGGTCATATTTTCTTAGGTGGAATATGAGCAAACGGTAGGTGACAATACAGCTTTGAATGGAATCCGCTTGTACTGCAACGATGGCACAATACTCGAGTCTAAAGTTGGACCGTGAGTAACTGATTTTCGTATCATATTTTATTTCCTTGTCATGAAGACGGAGAGGATGAGTTGCTGATGAGTTTCTGAATGAGTTGCTGATGATGAGACATGGATGAGAGATTTTTGTATTCCTGAGTTGTGCAGTGGTGTAACTAATAGTTTGTGGGCCATAGTAAGGATATCTCATTTAGGCTGTTCTTCCCTAGCGTGCATTTACTCCAACATGACCCCTTGTAGACTTGAGTTTCCCACATATTTCTCCCACTGTGCAGTTCATGAATCTATTTGCCTTCCTTGTAACTAGAAGACCTCCAAGGTCCCTTCCAATTCTGACATTCTCTTTTCAATGTCCAGAGGTAAAATGTAAAATCAAATAAAACCCCTGCATTAGTTAGCTTTCTTGTATACCTTATGGATGCTTGAGCTGCTAATAACAAGCAACTAAAAGTTGATTAAGAGCCTTTATACTACTTATAAATGGATTAACTCCAACTGAAGAGCCTTGATTGAATGGAAATGCAGACCTTTCCTGAAAGTAGCAAAGGTGTTCCTAAGCTCTTTTCATAGCTTAGGAACAACTCAAGTTCTCTCCCAGCGTTGACAAGTGGACCTTGGAACCTAAGCCTTATTCAAGAGTAGCCTGACTATCTAAAAACTGAGAAGGTTCTTCCAGGGCATCTCATTCATTTCCCTGGATATTCAATATCTGTTTAAAACCCTTCATTGAAAAAGTCTACAAACTTTCAAGCAAAGTGGCCCATTCCTGTTTCCTTCCAATTAGGAAAATCTTCATAATTTAAACTCATTGTTCCTTGTATCCTCTTGAAGAACGAACCCCACAAACCTTCCCCCTTTTCTGCATTTCAGCCTTTCAGATACTTGAGGGCAACTATCACGTTGCCCCATAATTTTCT